CGAGGGCAGCACTTTTGAACAAATGAAAAGAAAAAGGATTTATAATGTCAAAATCTGAAGATGCTGTGACGAGATGACTATCAGTTACCTTGAGTGTATCAATTACTAGTAAACAATTATTGTGGTCGTCACTTAAATGTGTTTTTATGAATTAGCTCTTTTCCTTTGTATCAGTATATGGTACGTACTTGTGTTGTATCCATCTCTCTCTTACTATTTGTTCAGTGGACGTTTTACATCTGTCATTATGTACCATCCTTCCTATGTTTTTCTTAGTTTTTTATCGTCTTCAACAACAACTGGTGATATATACGCATAATAAAAATCCAACATGAAAACACAAACGTAAGAAGTATGTATTTATTTCGAATTTTTATCTGCTATTTTACTTGTCATATGAGAAACTCAGGAAGAAAAGAGACAAGCTCTATATATTTGTGAAACTAACCATGATTTTTTGACATTCATAATATCGATTATAAAAATTAATAGTACTGTCAATGATACTCCTCCTGGAAGAGTTCTTAATAATGAATTTTCTGGCTTGATTTGGGTGATCATATTACATATATATCATAGGACATATAGGAGGTAAAGTTTTACATGAAAATTAAATGTGTATATATTGTAAATATTAATCCTAATTATGACATACATGTAGCAGTTAATTTTTTCAGGATAATTGTCTACAGCTATTATATAGCTTACATATATATAGAAAAAATATTATAGCCAGCTAGTCACCGGATAATATTAGCTTAGCTTGCATTGTAATTAATCCTGTATGTGAAGATATTGTATTTTTTTGTCTATGAAAATGTCACAAACATGCTAATTTATATGCTACTTTCGAGGGACTTCAAGTTGATTTTCGGATATATCCTTTCTGTTTAGGGTACAAATACAAGATATATACGATCGAAAAGTAGGGATATAAACTTTCATGACACTATACCTTTCTTAAACTAATACAGTCGCACCACCTCAAGCACGTCCTTAAGTTGGATGAACATGGGCAAGAAAAATGAGAGAGACAAATTAAATCATTTGCATGCTCTCACACACGAAAAATTTCTTTAGGTTAAAATAACATATTAAGAATCTTGACTGACTTTTTAAAATTTTAATTAATTACTTGGGTTTGTCCCGCATGGACCTGAAGTTATCGAAATTAAAGCAAGGGATGTGATATCATTCTTTAGGTAGGGTTGAGGATAAATTAACCAATTGTAAGGTTCTTCTTTGATATTACGATAAATATAATGGGAACAATAGGGCTTGATGATATGTGTGCATAAAAGGGGAGAGAAGAGGGTAGGACCAGAAGAAGAAAAAGAGGGCTGCTTTTGCCCACAACATAAATTGAAAGAGAGAAAATCTGAGGAAAGATATGGTCAGGCTGATGCAACTGATAAATAATAAAGATGAATGAATGAATGACCTTTTGGTAAAGGAATTTCTGGACCACCGTTTTGGCATTATGGAATCCTCTCTGCTCTCCTTTCTATCTATCTTCTCATCGCATCATCAATTATACTGAACGTCCCAAGAATCTCTTCCCCAAAAAATATCAAACCTCATATGTATTCAATCACTTTCTCACCTTCCACCTTTCAACTTAGTGGTTACAACATTCATTACTCCATTCTGACCAACCCACCCAGCTCGCTCGCGCTCTCTCTCTCTCTCTCTCTGTGAACAGTCAAAGGTTCCTATAACGGTCATTACAAGTGCTTCTCTAAATAAAGAAGTGTATCCCTGTCCAGTGTCCGGCCACCAAAACAATCCTATCTCACTCGTATTAAATTCGGGTTGTATCATGCATATATATATATATATATATTCTCATTTTAAGAACATATCATCAGCGGAAATGATAGTTTGTGGTGCCAAAGAGAAAAAATTTTGCGAGCAGAAAACAAGTGAGGTCGCTTGATACGTTATATATATAGTGAGTGCAATATAAAACTAGAAGTAGCGGTTGTCGGGATTCTCAAGAGGGATAGTGGCAACAAATTTATGTTGCTTGAAATATTATATGTGCGTATATTTTCTGTGCAGAACAGTCAGTATATCGAAATCTGGGGATGGGGGGAATGGAGAAAAGCAAAGAGGAAAAAAGGGAAAGGGAAAGGAGGAGAGAGAGAGTACGTATGACTGCAATTCTGGGCGTATTGGCGCAGCGTGTATAGGCTGCTCATTCTGACAATTAGAATCTGAAACGTCAATATCACAGTTTGTACGTTTTGCATTTCACTTTTTTCATTGTCATTTCACCCTCCCCCCCCCCCCAAAAAAAAAAATCTCTCTCTCTCTCTCTCTGAGCTCTTTATACTTCAAAAATACCCCCTAACCTCCTCCGTATCAAACTCTCCTTGCCTTCCTGTCTCTCTCTCTCTCCTATTCATTCTCCTTGTATCTCTCACCCTCTCTCTCTATATCATTCTCCTTGTAACTCTCACCAGCATCATTCCTCTAGCCTTTCTAATTTCCGTTTTTTTTCCCCTTTTTCTCACATCCCTAGTATTAAACATGAGCAACCTTTATCAATTTCCATAGCACATTGTAGACGGTAATTAAAATCGAAATATCTTTATAGGACCGTGTTATAAATCTCTTCCCTTCACTTATTGGAGGCCCTGAAACTTATTTTATAGAATGCAGCCACTACCCTCTCAAAGAGGATTATAAAGATAATCATTCACACTAGTATATTTCTTATGGAGCATATATTTCAAGGAGCGAATTGAACTCTCTTCACCTCAAATATTATGAATCTCTATGTCTTATCCCGGAACTCGTAAACTCAAATGAATCTGATCCCGTTTTAATTTCCAGCCAAGAGAACCTTAAATGTTGATCCAATTGGCTGAAGCAAGTGTACGTTTGTGAATAATTTGAAGATCATACCTGATAGAACCAAGTAGGCAAGTGTTGGAACACGTAATAAATGAGTTGAAGCAAATTCAGAAGAGGTGATTGTGATAGCTCTGACTGGGTAGCAGCATGTAAGTGAAGGAGAAGTGATCAAATATAGGTGGGGACCGAGTGAGAGGGAGGGGTGAAAAGGATGGAGCAGATAAGTGTCGTGAAAAACTATAGCAGCACGTGATGGTGATTCCTGAGGGCAAAGGAGCGGCAAGGCAAGGCAAGGTAAGTCATGTATTATCCAAATTACTGCTTTTTGTGAAGGCCATAGCACCTGCGTGGCACTCTCGCGTCTCGTGAGGAAGAGGACCACAACGTCCCAGAGGAATTCCCGCTACCATGCCATGCCTCAACTTGCTCAATCCTTCCAATCAACCCACACTCATTTCCTTGCATTGGATTCTTCTTCCTATCCTTCTTCTCACTCATTGCCTGCTTCCCCCATCTTTCTTGGGAGCTCAACATTACAACACAGCACGACAGCCACGGGCGAGACTCTTCTCTATGGAGCCCACTTACGATGAAACTCTATATAGTATATACATAAATTAATAACTCTTGTTCCTAAGTGAGACTGAGAACGCAGAGCTTACCTCGGACATGGATCACCCCGGGTTCTACACATCTAATACCAACTGTTCTCCAGTTTTCGTAATAATTTACCCCATGTAATGCTGCGGGAGACAGGACGGGGGGAAAGGGATATGTATAAATAAATAAATAAATAAATCTGACTCCATATGCTCCTCTTTGCTAATGCCTCTCCGATCCAGCACTACTGTGGAAGATCCAAGCTACTAATTTCCAACACCTTAATGAATGAGGTTACCAACACTACTGACATCCACAGTGAGCTTGAACCTAATGTTGATAAGGAGCGTTGTTGAGGATAGAGCAAGCTTAGAGTAGTTTGTTCGGTCCGAGGAGACACATGAGTACGGTTGCCTAGGCTTTTATACTTTCGTAGAAGCTGACCCTCGGGTTAAAATTTCATGCCATTCACGAAAATTCAATTAAAGCTCAGAACGATGTGCCTATATGCACTTTTTGTAAGCCCCAGTCAGCTGGCTCGTTCCTGAAGGCATAAGCCAAGTTCTCTATTCTGATGTTTTCTTCTCTGTTCTGACTGGGCCACACAAATATAACGAACTACATGACTTGCAATGGTTTTTTAGGTGGATAAACTGCTTTGGAATCCTAGGTCAAAATCCGAGGTCCCTGATACAAATTTGCAGGCAGGTCAGGTTCGTGTCGCAAGACAAAATACTTCTACCGACGTAATAAGAAATCACCTGCTTATCAATATTTTACATTTTAGTCTTCCAACAAGCCCAGCAGGTCAGTGGAAAAGACAATAGACAGACTCAATTGTAACCCTTCAAAAAGGCTTAATTTTTAATTCACTCGTATCTTCAGTCGAAAAACAAAAGCAAGAGTGCCTGTACAAACAGCTAAGAGGATGGGCAACAAGAGTATTAAAAAAAAAGCAAAGAAAGAAAGAAAAGAAAAGAAAGCCTATTAGCCTGAGGGAAAAAATAGATCGGAAAACTTATGAAACCTAAATTCCCCTGTTTCAGCAGACGGCATTCGTACCAAACGAGCTAAATGAAAGCCTAGCCTTATCATTGGACCCAAAGCTGAACTTTATGTCACCAGCGTCATTCTGAACAGCAGTACTGCTTGTAGAAGGGAAAGAGAACACTAGAGCTGGACTTGATCTTTTGGATCCAAAACTATATGAAGGTTCAGTAGCAATTTCTTTTGATTGGCGGTCACCGCCAGTGGAGAACGATGGCACGATGGATGGTGTAGGTGGCTCGGAGAATACAGAAGAGGCAGCAGAAACCGGGAAGGTAAATCCTGAGCTTCTATCAGATGCCAAGGTCCACTTTGGCTCAGGCTTGTTGATGTTAATAGATGGTAATACCGGTTTTCCAATTGAGTAGTTGGACAGAGGTATCTTCTCTTGAATTTTCACACTAGGCTGATTAACAGATGAGACAATCTTCGATGCATCCTGCACAAAGATTAATAAATCTAGAAAAAATGTGATGTCTTTTCAAAAGTAAATCAAGGCACAACAAGAATCATCTTCAATAAATTGAAAACCATAAAGTAACAATTTCCATGCCCATTGGAAAAAAAAAAATGAAAATGTCATAATACAAATAAGAAGTTTCCATGCCCGTCAGATGATTGAGTACCTCTTCAGTAGATTTCATTGGAAAATTTTGGGCGCCATTAGTATTTTGCAAGGACCTTGCATCACTTCCAATTTTCAGGAAGCTACTGCCAACGTTGATTCCAGATGGCAAAGATGTTGCATTGTTGACATTGATAGATTTATCAGCACTCAAACTATCAACATGGGAGCTCCCTTGAATTTCATTTAGAGTGGATTTCTTTCCATCATACCCATCATATTTATATGAATTGGCATCTTTTAATTTCAGAAAGCCATTATTTTCATTTGACAAGACACCATTGGCATTAACAGAAGACTCGGGATTCTTCCATTTAGTGGCCAGATTCAGCTCTGCAGATTTCTGTTGAGGAGTGGGAGGATTTCTATCAATATGCTCCAATATTCTCCTAGCCATCAAACTGGTATGCATGTGCACTGTTGGAAGAGCAACCCCACTACCCTGTGGCTTGTTATCTAATGAGTGGAATTTATGAGTGTCGCCAGTCTTGTCAGGTTCCAAATTCTTTGTAAAAGCAGGCAAGAAACCTTCATGAACATCTGAACTTTCCCTCCTGGCCGGGCCATTCAGAGGTGAAGGTGTGTAAGCTGGCCTTCTTGAAGAAGATTGTGCACCAGCCTTGTGCCTAATTTGACGGATGGGTCCAACAGATCCATAACCACCCTCAAATGCATCAACTCTAGATTTATCCTGCATAACGTAGTTAAGCAAACTATCTGACATACAATAAACTGAAAACAAAATAAAAAATTAACAAAAACGCAAAAAGTTCAGTCAGAGATATGAAACTCTGTCATACACTCCCAAACGACGAAAGGGGATGTCAGTAAAGCCCACTTGCATGTTCATTGTATTTGATAGGTTAGAATGGCTTTAAACTTAGCATGTGACACCATTCCAATTTCTCATGCTAACTTATATTATCAGAATTTAACATGTTAAATGAAAACAGAAAAGAGTCTCATTTCCTATTCAGCATTAAGAATTACGCCAGTTTATACTTCAAAAGATCACCAAGACAAATAAGAACCTATAGCCTCAACATGATATACGTTTTTAATAATAGAAGAGAATAGAATAGATGTAGAAAGAGAATAGGAGGAGAGAAGAACAGATGAAGGTTTAGAGTAGATGAGAGACGAGAGGGTGGAGAGGAAGAGAGAAAAGAGAGGTGAGAACTTTATGAATAATACCGAAGTCTATTGATCCACACACCAATACAATGAAACATAAAAGTATTTATATAATTGTTGAATTCACCCAACGGCTAATAACCAACGGTTATAACTAACTAATAAAATATCAAAGTTACAAAAACATAACAATACCCCCCTCCCAAAAGACCTTTGCCCCCAAAGGTCATGCTGAAATATTGGGGAAAAAAACATTAAACTCTTAAAAGCTACTGTCATTGCTCTCTGTCACTGTTCACTGCGACTGTACACTGCTGAATAAATGGAAATAATGAGTTGAGCCCAAAAGCATTTTTAGTCAACCTCCTCTGTACCATAGAACAACAAATAAGTGGGCAGGGAAGAGCTGAAGACAAAGAAAAGCCCAACAAGATAGATTTTTCAATGGGTTGATTGTAACATCTTTGAGTGACATTGGGCCCAAGCAATTATCCCAATTCAGAAGCTGGTTCAGGTTCAGTAAGGATGAAAGGTCCAGCTTATGTGTCTGAAGCTTCCACCTACATGGCAGAATAGCTTTTGACTTTTTAGGACCTAGCCACATGACATTCTGAACAGAAAAATCAGGGAGTAGTTCCTTTTTTTTTTTCTTGAAACTTGAACCCATGTATTGACTATCGGTGTTAGCTGCCATCCACTAAAACTACACCCACTTGATATGAAAGACAGCTGTCTTTGACCCATGCTCCCATGTGTGCAGACCCCAAAAAAAACCCACTGAAGCTTACTCTCACATGCCCTCCCTGCTGTGAAAAGTTCACCCAGGTTCTGTAGCTGTGAGAAGTCTAGAGTCTTTAAATGGGTACGGGTAAGACAAACACACGTTGATAAGAAGACAAAAAGGGGTGGTGATGATGGAGCAAATAGCCATGAAGCATTTGAAGTTACAGAATCGACTGCAATGGAGAAACCAGCAAAGACAGCAACGATGACACCCAAGGAACAAAGGACAGCAATGGAGAAGTTTGTGGTGGCGGCAGAAAAAACGTAAATAGGTAACGATGGGTTGATCAGAAACAAAGATGAAGAGAAAGTTGGAACAGAGTGTGGCGAAGGCTCAAGTGGCCAACATTGATGTTTCGAACAGTGTTTGGTACCCAAACTAAAGTCTAGACTGACGGTTTTACCCACACCAACAGCTAAAGAGCTTAAGGAGTCATGTTTAGAGATGATTGAGCCTACTTTACTCTACAACTCGCACAAAGAAACCTTCTTGAATCACTGCAATCATCTTGCAGTTCTTGCCTTGTTATAGTTACGGAATCCTTTGAATGCCATTCTTGGCTTGCTGATTCCCACAATCTTGTAGAGGTGTACCTACTTCATCCTTCTCCAAAAACTCTTGTGATCGATAATTATCTTGAAGTGCCTGTGCCTTCTTTTTTATCTGACGCATTAGCATGATTTCTTGCATTCTTGCAAGACTTCTAGCTTCTTGCATCATTCTTGGTTTGAAGAGACGCACTGGTTCTACAAGTTCTGGTTTAAGCCCAGCCATATACGCAAAAGCCAAATATTTTTCTTGTAATTTTAACTTGCTGGTGTGGCTATCAAAGAATTCATTGAATTCTTTCACACTCCCCTGCTGACGAAGCCACATCTAGTGGTCATCCTCATATTCTTGGAATGAATGGTGTGCCATGGCCGAGGATGACCGGCTCTGATACCATTGATATACATTTGTAATAATAGAAGGGAATAGAATAGATGTAGAAAGAGAATAGGAGGAGAGAAGAACAGATGAAGGTTTAAAGAAAATGAGAGACGAGGGTGAAGAGGAAGAGAGAAAAGAGAGGCAAGAACTTACTAAATAATACCGAAGTCTATTGATCACACACCAATACAATGAAACATAAAAGTATCTATATAACTGCTAAATTCACCCAACGGCTGATAACCAACGGTTATAACTGACTAATAAAATGTCAAAGTTACAAAAACGTAACACAACATGTAAGATAACATTTTTTTTTTGGTTCTTTTTCCCCTTTTGTTCCTTTCTTTCTATTTTTTGGTGAAGGGATAACAAAGTTTTTCCTTGTCATTGAAAAATTAAAATCTTGAATTTGTTCATATTCCGACACATCAAATAAACCAGAAAACGAACAAAAATCCAAATAGAGTCTGGTTTAAAAATCCTTCAATTAACAAAAGAAACATCCCTATTTAAAGACAATCAAGAAATAATTGGTAAACCAAAAGATACCTGCAGATACAAAGTAGTCTGTGATTGATGGAGGGGAGTTGATGACATATGACTGTTATTGCCTTGCACGTGAATTGACTGGACAAACAAAACAAAATCATAATTCCATAAACAGAAAATCTTTGAAGCATCAAAGTAAAAGGTGTAAAAGGTAAAGTTCTTCAAACAAAACGTACCCTGGACTTGGATTTTGATAAAATTGTTCTAGAATAAGGCGTTCTGGGGAAGTTATGAAGGCCATATCCCCTACTTTGGCTTAATGGTGTTGTGTAAGAATCTTGCACCATGACACCTGGCCAACATGCTGACGTCTTTGGTGAAAGTGATGGAACATATGGCTTTATAGCAGCTTCATTACCATGTAGCATGCCGCTTTCAACAGTGTGGACTGTGCTCTTAGAACTGGGGCCTACTTCAAATGCACGGGAACCCATATAAGCCTTTGCAATCTCAACTGGTGAGGCACCAATATCATCTTGGACCTGAAAGTCATTTATATGATTATAATATAAACTCAATGATTAGGGCCATCTGCATTAGAACTCAATGAGTCCCAAGAAAAAATAATAGTTTTATGGTAGTATTAAACTTACACATCTGCAGCTTTTCTCTCTCTAATAAAAACTACTTAATAGGATGGTAAATCATTTCTGAGTCACAGTGGAAAAGTGTGACAAATAAGCAATCCATATCTACCCTATTTTCAAGTACTTTAGTAGTAAAACATGAACAAAATGCTCAGTTTGTCTCAAGCATCACCTAGATAGACCATGGAAGAATGTATTAATGGGATAGGGACAATGTACAGTGTTTTGAATCGCATGCTATCTAGTGGACAAAATAATATTTATGGAGGCAATCACTGCAACAAACCCCAGAATAGAAGTCCAAGGTTCTGTGCTTGTCAATATTCGAGGGCAGTTACCAGTAGTTTGAAAACAAAAGTGCAGTTGAACCATTAATAAAAAAACAAATTGAAGATAATTTTTCTTTTAGACAAAGATATTGATCTTCCAGCAAATGTCAATTATTTATAAAGACAAGTTGCAGTACCCACCTTTGACCGATCAAGACGTGTTGAGCTTCCCCATAAAGCTCCAGTCAAGTCTTCGTGTTTTTGTTCATTTGATATGTTTGGATCATCATGTGACACAACAATTCCTTTGTTGTCATTTCTAACAGTTAGGCTAGCGTTTTCCTCTCCTTGTACAACATTAGGAAGCTCACTTGCCCTCAAATTTATTATCTCCATCAAACGGTGAACCTCGTCTCTGCATCAGAAGGACAAAGTTTTAGGCATGATCATGATTTAGGAATCATTATAACAAATTAGTAACACTCCTCAAAGGTTTGATAAAGCCATAAATTCAAAACTTCTCCAAAAAAGAAACCTAGACTAACATGCAAGCATATTGAAATGGCATCAATTCCTAACATGGTGGTGTCAATTAAAAAAATAAAAAGAATTAGAGCAATGGAAACTTTTTTTGCCAACAGCAAAATAAAGAATATAAGGACGCTTAAAGAGGGTTTAACTATGAGCAAAAGTAGGATTTGAAATTCCAAGATTCCTCAAGTAATATCTAAGCCTTTGGGATGAATAATTAGATCTAAAGTGTGATTGCCAGGACAAATTTCTGAAACTAGCAATCCAACCAACATAAATAAATACTACTATATCAATTAAGTTGTACCTCGAAAATCTTTTCCCTTTTACCAGTTGCTCAATTTCAGATAGCTTGTTGTTTTCAGATTGCTCTCCTTTTTCATCCTGTTTATGCAGAACCAAATCACAACTGCTGCTCAGTTTATTATATCTTTCACCAGTACTTTCTGTTTCAGCTGATTTGGTTGTCCCATCCTGCAAAAGACTTAGCATACTCACGAAAAATGTAAGGGGCTAAGGAAAAGCTTCCAAACTCAGTATGATCCTTGCCTTGTGCAGGAGGGAAATCTGGACAAAACACACAAATCTATAATGAGAAGACCAAAATAATTAATGACCAGTCACAATGACAGAAATGAACAAGGCTGAGCCAAGGAGCCTCAAGAGCTAGATTTTTTTACTCATTTTTTTTATTTCTTTTTCACTTCTAAATGTAATCTCCTTGTAGTAGCTTCAATTATCTTAAGTCTTAAAGCTAAAATAATAGCCAGAAAAGCAAAGCCGTTTTTTAGAGCAATGGAAACTTTTTTTGCCAACAGCAAAATAAAGAATATAAGGACGCTTAAAGAGGGTTTAACTATGAGCAAAAGTAGGATTTGAAATTCCAAGATTCCTCAAGTAATATCTAAGCCTTTGGGATGAATAATTAGATCTAAAGTGTGATTGCCAGGACAAATTTCTGAAACTAGCAATCCAACCAACATAAATAAATACTACTATATCAATTAAGTTGTACCTCGAAAATCTTTTCCCTTTTACCAGTTGCTCAATTTCAGATAGCTTGTTGTTTTCAGATTGCTCTCCTTTTTCATCCTGTTTATGCAGAACCAAATCACAACTGCTGCTCAGTTTATTATATCTTTCACCAGTACTTTCTGTTTCAGCTGATTTGGTTGTCCCATCCTGCAAAAGACTTAGCATACTCACGAAAAATGTAAGGGGCTAAGGAAAAGCTTCCAAACTCAGTATGATCCTTGCCTTGTGCAGGAGGGAAAAAAAGGTAGAGAGGGGCAGCACAGATGTGATAAAAAGAACTTTGTTGATCATCGAACAACTTCCAAAAGACGGAGATTTCAGACAAATTCATATGAAGATATAAAAACATTAATGTGAAGGGGGAAGAAAAGGGGGGAAATCTGGACAAAACACACAAATCTATAATGAGAAGACCAAAATAATTAATGACCAGTCACAATGACAGAAATGAACAAGGCTGAGCCAAGGAGCCTCAAGAGCTAGATTTTTTTACTCATTTTTTTTATTTCTTTTTCACTTCTAAATGTAATCTCCTTGTAGTAGCTTCAATTATCTTAAGTCTTAAAGCTAAAATAATAGCCAGAAAAGCAAAGCCGTTTTTTAACACTACATGTAGCATCAGTAAATCTTGAGAGTTGAATATAACTGGGAACTTCTGCCAAGTAGCTTTCCACATTTTCAACCTGAAAATCCTTAGAAGATTTACTCAATTTGAAAACAGGATTTTGTTGTATTGCAATGACATCCAAGCAACTATCATTTCATTAAGTATTGACTTCAAGATTCAACCCAAAAAATTTTTCCCATGGCAAACATGGAATTCTATAATGAGCAAAGGTCACTAATCATCAAAATTAGAGACAAGATTATTAAGCATAATTATATTGAGGAGACATAAATCCCCACAGGGATTGCATTTTATCTTACAAAATATAGCAAAGAATATACCAAAATGAATCTGCCCCAAACCATGTTAAGATGCGTACACAAGGAAGTCATACACAGGTGTATAGAGCAAGAGAACAAAGATAGTGGAATGCAAAAATTGAGAAGCAATATGTTTTTCTAGTTTCACATGAAGCATAAACATAGAAGATAAGGCCAACTTCTTACATGTAAATCACCTTCCTGTCTGTCATCCCTTTGAGTTTCTTCACCTGTCAGCCATTTACCTATAACAGATGAACAACTTCATTAGAAAAATGTCTGCAATGAATCAATGAATAATATAGGCCAATTGACATGAATGGTGGTCATAGTATTTGCTATGCCCCTAGAAGCTTTCACATTATCTACAAGCTACATGCAAAGGAGCACCAAATTATAATCAAAGGCATAGATGTACCAGATGATTTTACAATCACTCTGGAAACAGAAATGATGAAGATATTTTGCCTAGGACATCAAAAGCAGTAGCTTGAGGCAAACTTCAGGTCTATATCTCTTATAACTTATCAAACATTTTCTTCACTTAAAAGGGAAAAATCAGTGCCATGAATTTCAAGCCACCACCATCACCAATTCCATTCAAATACAGAACATCAAAGCAGTCATAAAATTATTATTTCCCCTAGAGCTCCATATTTGATGTTATGCAAATCCACATGAAGTCCTAGGCCAGAGATAAATACCAAAATTATAAAACTTTGTATTGGGGACTAAACCATAAATAGGTCTATTAGCAAAGTTTACTCTGCCACATATAAAGACATTGAAGATATTTAGTGCCAAGATCTTAACTGCAATCACTAAACAAGTACTCCAGCTCCTAAGAACATTGGATGCACCCACTCCAAATTTATTTATTTCTTAAAATAATAACAATTTCATCTCCTAATAAGTATAACACTTTCAGCCATTCGTATTCTTATTCTATACGGAAAACACTACCTCCTTCACAACCAAGAATACAAAAATCACTGTCAGTTCATGCTCATAATGATGTTGGCTAGTAATGAAGGAATAACCCACTTCTTACCCTCCACATGCTTTTCCCCTTTTCCATATAAGTAAACTGTGATAGAAAGAAGTCTCTAACTTGGAAATTTAAAAGCAAATCAGCTCTTGAATCTTAATAATTTGAAACTAAAATCGGCATGAATTGACTCCAAATCCAAACACTTTGCTTATGTTGAGCCAACGAGCTTTGACATGACCATGCCACTATCAGCCATGAGTAAAGACATCTAAGATCCATATGTATAACGAAAGTCATAAAATTTGGCATAGGACCATTCAAGGAACAGGAAAAAAAACCAAGAGGAGAGGATACCATGACACAAGTGAAGCAATGTTACTCTAAGCAGCAGGATCCACAAGGCTCCTTGTCTGGCATTTACAGTCATTACTCATTATTCAATTGATAAAATTGGCAATAATTTAAGGGGGAAAATGTTCATCAACAGTCACAGTCTATGCTTCCGGCATGACAAAGAAATGACTCTCTAAAATGGTGCTCTTATGCGTGTTCTTCCAATATGTTCTGCCATCAAGATTTATGACATAAATGCTTCTACACCAATATTTCTATTTTCACGTCCATTTCTAATTTCCATTAAGCATTCCAGTTCAATGAAAGGGATAAGCGGTAGCCATAAAGATTACAATAACAGAACGCATGCTCGTGTCTGATTTAGAAGGCAAGCTTTATTTTAAGATAGGTCCAGCGTGTTGGGTGTCCTTCAGTAATCGACAGTATTCAGCCATATTTTTCATTGATACAGTTTTGACAAGCTAGTACTGCCAGCCAGCATGATAGGCATATAAAAATTAACTTTTGGAACTTCGCCATAAGCTCAATTGAAAATAGGATAAAGTTTGACAAGATACATCATTAAGGGAACGAAGACGAGTGTATGCATCTGAGAAAACATTCTCGTGCAAGAAGCAAAACTACCAACAGTATTTTAAAACCGGGGGATCCCGAAAGGCCAGTCCCCGTACTTGACAAATTAATATCAGTCACCAAAAGAACAAGCACGAGAATGGCAAACAGACGAAAAGGATAGTAAAGGAATGGCAAATAAAACGTTAGAAGACCTTGATCCCCGTCGGCACGAGTAGGGCCAGGAAGAGCAGGGGCGACGGAGGTTTTGGAGAAGAAGGAAGGGAAAATCCGCGTGGCTTGGCCAGCAATGAGACGGCAAGCAGGATCCATGAGCCTCGAAATCCAACGGTGCCGAGAGGTTTCCGGCGGCCGCGAATAAGGAGTTGCGGGGGGTTTCCTCGGCAGCAATCTCTTCACCTTGCCCCCAGCACCTCGCTCTTGTTCTTCTTGTCCTCCTTCATGGGTACCCAGCGGAGTGATTTCATCCCTCGCCATCTCTCCCTCTCTCTGTGGGTATCGGAGATTTGGAGGGAGAGAGGATTTGCAGCAAAGTAGAAAGGAAAATCGGTCGGTGAGGGAGTGAGAGTGAAGGTTAATGCGGCGGCATATGATCGAGTTGCCGCGAGGCGCAGGGCGTGTCAGGCACTGGGGTTCATGAATGATGGGTCCCATCTAATTGGAAATTACATTTCGGGATTCCACGAAGGGCGTCGGGTCCCACAAAAGGACTCTCCAAAATTTGCGTGAACACAAAAATTCATTTAATTATAAAATGATAGTAATAAATTTATATCAGAAGTTTATATTACCTTGATGCCTTGACTCTAACCCGTTTTACACCATATTTTCATATCATTTTCACAAGGGCTGGACTTTAAGATTTGATAAAAAAATGATATGTAGGGTTCTTAGGCTTGAGTTTTTTGGGTTGAGTCCATTAGGATTTAACCTTGAAAGGTTTAGGTCAGCCTTTTTTTTTAATTTCCTTTTTTAAAAAAATTAAATAAGACTAATTTTAAAATAAAATAAAATCACTTAATTTCATGGTTTAAATTTGTAGTGCATTTTAAGATGTAAGTTTGATTGATATTATTTGAAAAATATTTTTTGTTTGATGTGATTAAATTTCTTAATTTTTTACATGATTATAGGAACTTAAATTTGAAATGTCAAATTTATAGTGTTTGTATTGTATTTGTTATTTAGATTTTAAAGAATTACAATTTGGACTTCAGATATTATAACTTATATTTGTATTTATTAATTTTATGTTTGAAGGAAAAAAAATGTTGTTTTAAAGAAAGAGATAGAAACGGGTTTACAGGCGCCCTTATAAATGATGCTTCAGCTGTGAAGCACGCTAGAAAAGTGTTTCTAGATATGCACGAGATATGTAGCCGTGGTCAGAGAAGCAGTGTGATCTTTTATCAATGTGTGTGTGTGTGGGGATGTGAATGATAGTTTTTAAATAGGAGGCGGCTATGATCTCGGCGGCGTGGCGTCCCCAGAAAGCTCGTGGAAAGGGAAGAGGAATTCAAAGTGGGTAGCTTGCAGAGCAGGTTAATGGAGGATGGCATGGCATGGTTAGGATATTTGTATGTGTGGGTTGGCAATGGCGTGGGAGACAGGACTGGAGGTTCACGGAGTAAGGCGGAGACAAGGTTTGTGGATTCTACAGCTGGGCTCAACCTGTGTTGCTCTCTCTTCTGAAAGCCTTTGCCTGTCCTACACAAACAATGAGCCCTCGCCTCTATACACTTTTTGTACTTTGTTCTTAACTTAATTGAGGAGGATGCTGATTCCTCCCCTCTATAGTTCCCAATAAAATTTAAAGCCTGCCTGAGTAGTCCCCCCCCCCCCCCCCCCTTTTTTTTTATAACAGCCTGTCTGAATAGTGAATATTCTTCTTTGCTCCTAGTTACTTTCAACATTTTATCAAAATCAAGAAAAACCATAATTCTCATTAATTGTCTCTAAAAACTGAGCAATTTTTAACTCTATCCCTATTAACTAGTTTAAAAATAAAATACTCTAACATTTAATTAAATTTTCAACATTTAATAGAGACTAAATGATAAAAATGAACGTACTAATCATTAAAATATCTTATAAATAGAATCAAAAATAATACTCTCTATCTTATAAGTAAGACAGGAGAAGAACTAACTTAAGCTGCTATTGCAGATCGCAAAAGTTCCAGTGTTAACTATTTGTCCAATCAAACAGCAGTAGTTTCTTCTCATTATACAATGCGTTAAAATGCCCAAAAGGTCTTTGGGCCAAGACTCTGAGAAATGGCCCAAAAGGTCTAATGCTGAATGCAAACAGCGCCAAGGAGAAAGTGAAAAGACGAGTCGGACTTCGCAACTTCATTCCCCCCAACTTGCCAACATGTAAACTCAACTGTCACCATCCTAACCATTTTCAAAACCGGAGTGCCAATGGTTCCATTCCTTGTACAAGGTGCACGTATGTGTACCAAAACCCAATAATTCATTCATTCCCACAAAGTATTAAAACCAACAGATTCCACTTGCAAAATAACAAAAGCTCGTGAATTGGCACTAAAACAATTACACGGCAGTTTGATGGTTGATAGCGTTTGCAGAGAAAATATTTGCATTTCCCCCGACACTCCTACAATATTGTAGCTCTACTCCACAAAATATATGTAATCACTGGTATCAATCCAACATCGCTTCGCATGTTTAATCTATACTTAAGTTAGAACTAAATAAATCATCCCTTGGATGTGTGCGTTTGAGCAAGAATTTAGAACTATATGAAGCTTTTCGAAATACATGCATCAGCGGATGAATCAGAAGGACAAGGTAAAGAGAAGGCCTGCCACTTTTTTCATTATTAATCGAAAATCGACCTTTCATGCAACCATATACTGAACTGAACGAAAAACCGTTACATCTTATTTGGTCGGCCAAAAATTACAGGGTTAAGGTAATATAGACAAAGTGAGGTAGTCGTATGGTATTAACTACAAAGACATGCAACTTAAGAAGCAGCAGCCAAGGGAGCTCTATGGAGAAAACCAGGAGTTTTTTCAGAACCACCTTCTCCCACTACTTCATCCTCTTCTTCTGCATCCCAAAGGAAATGAGCGTAGGATGCTAGAACATAACTGCATTCACGAAGAAAAGCTCGGGTTAATTCACAGAATGACATAAGCTATTGAGCAATAGTTTATTCACAGCATCCTTTGCAAATTAGATAATTTACTATCCAAGGTTACTCCAATAACATTATCGAACAGAAGTTTGTGTTTATGATATATATGTGTGGGAAAAAACTCAACCAGTAAAAAAAAAAAAAAAAAAAGCAACCGCGGATGATTCTTACCAGTCATCTGGAGCAGCTTTGACTGCTTGATCATAATAAGTTTCAGCTCTTGAAGCATCCTTTTGACCTTCCCAAATCAACTCTGCATACATGGATAGTACGTTTGCATCACCTGGGTTTGCCAAAATTGCTCTGCTACAATACTCTTCTGCTTTAACATAGTCTGCACGAACCTGTCACCATAACAAATCAACATGGTAAGATCAAACTATGCGGATTGCAGCACGAGGCATTGAGATATATGGACTACAGCTAAGGAAGAAGAACAAACATGAGAGGTGATTCAATATTCAAATCTTTAACCCGGCCTCGTGCGTAGTATATTAGACACAAAAAATAATAAAACTGAAGCTTTGAAGCGCTAGAAAGTTACAGCTTTTTCAGCTGTAAAGTTTTGTGAAAAGCTAGGACTAAATAGCAACGATGTGATGAGAATTTATCTCACTTCGGAAAAATTTCAGGGTATACAAAGAAAGATCCTTTTTCATCATAAAATTATTTCATCAGAACTGGAGAACTTAATCACCGAATAGGCAGAAGAATACACGACGAGCAATTACCAATGAATTGTGGTTGAAAAGAGGACAGAACAAGGCAGCTTAAACCTCTCCTTCAGTATTTTATTAAAAAAACAGAAAATTATACTGATTAACCTCAAGCAGCAAATAGAAATATCATACAGGAGACCAAAAACAAAGCCAACAGAAACTTCACTCACCTCTTTCAAGTACTTTGCGTAGTTGCTAAGAAGAAGCGGATTCCCTGGATTTGCTTCGATCATTGTCTGGTAATACATGTCAACGCTATCGTTGCCATGATTCGAATCCCAGAACCCCGAACGCCCATCTTCTGTGTCGTCCGATCCACCGCCTCCGCGTCCACGACCAGTCCTTCCATCACCACCACCAATCTCGCCTCCAACTAAAACACTCATCGTGTCATCATCCATGGGACCAACCCCACACTCCTCGTCCAACTCAGAAAACGAAAACAGTCCACGACCAAACGACGCCGTTCTGGAATATGCACTAAACCCTTTCTCCACCTTGCTCTCCTCCTCGTCTTCAACCGGGAGCCCACCAAAGAGCTGGGTGAACGGTTTCTTCTTGGGCACAGACAGGTCCCGCAGATCTGTCTCGGACAGCGCCCGCGTCATTTTATTCGCGGAATCGTCCATCCAAGATAAGGAGCTCGACGAGGCCGACAATGTAATCGAGCGATTTCTCGGAATCTGATGAACTATTTCCGGTTCGGGGGACGAATCCTTGAAGTGAGGATGCCATGAGTTGAGAACCGGCGTCGATGAGCTACGGAGCAGCATCGTCGTCCTCTACGAAATACGGGATCTGATTCCACTGAATACCTAAAATTTCAAGATTTAGGCGGAAATTAGGGGAATGCTAACCCCACTTTCACCTAGAAACCTATTCTAGAATTAGGAACTGGAGTACCGAGGGAAAAGGCCGCGATCTAGTTTTATACTGGGAGAGATGGTGGCTCCGCCAATCGATCTCAGCCGTCGATTCTTCATGAAGCGGACACGTTGAATTCTGTAGCGAGTCCCACGGCCGCAGGAGACTCAAACGAAGGGAAGTTCATAAGTCAAGAGGTTTTTTCACCAAGCAAATTAATTTTTGAGAATGAATTTGCTCTTTAACCTTATATTCATTACATAGCCTCTTAATTGGAATTGATAGAAGGCTGGGTAAAGGTCATAAATTAAAATTATCGAAGATGTTATCTATTGACAAGTTGACATTGAAACAAGTTTCATATCAAAAAATTTTGGAATGGTTTTTTTTTTTCTTTATACTCGTTACATTTACAACAAGTCTCACGTCAGAGGGTTTTGAGATTAGCTTGTACTCATTACATTTATAACAAATCTCACATCAAAAAATTTTATAACTAAAGTGAAATTTAAAAATTTAAGAGGCTCACTCTTAAATATTATATAATAAGTTAGTCTTATAAATTAATTTTTTTTTAAATTTATGCTTGTTACACCTCTCAAAAGAGAGGCGAGTATCAAAAAGGATTATTTCTAAAAAATTTAGTAGATAAAAAATCCAATGAAGTGCCACAGGATGGCATTATAAGTTTGTAACAAGTTTTATATTAAAGAACTCATAAGGAAAATAAAATTTATAAATTTAAGGGGTTATCATGAATAGAGCTAAGAGATTCTCTCACCAGCAAACCAATCTTTTACCGAAGCTCTGAGCACCACTGGCTGCTAATTCTCCCACTCAGTTAGTGTTCACACGTCGTCTCTTTA